TTGATTATTATATGTCTGGGTGTGGTTTCCATTGGGTTGATGTTATTTGGAGTTCTATATGCTTTGGTTACTGAATGTCAGATTGTTGCCCCATATTTGGTAAGTTTTCTACTATTACTTCTGCCCATATTCTTTTTATATCATTTGTATTGACTCCTTCCTTCTCATTGATGCCTATTAGTCTCACATTGTTCATCTTTCCATTGTCTTTCAGGTATTGAATTATTTTTTTCTTGTACCCTAGTTGTTTTAAAGAGATCTTTTCTTACTTTTTCACTAGCTGCAATGGTGTCTTTAAGGTCAGAAAGTCTGTTTTCACTTTCACTCAAACGGTTTTGCCAGCTTGTGATTGAGGTTTTAATTTCCTGTATATCACTTTGAACCTGTTTCATAGATTCTATTTCTTTCCTATATTGCTTATTTAAGGATTCCATCATTTTTATATTCTGCTCTATTTTTTTATCAGTGTATTCTTTAGAAGCACTTAGAACTTCTTTGATTATAGTTAACACTACATTTTTTAGTTCCGAAATTATTTCTGATCTGAATTTTTCTATACCTTTCTGCAGTTGTTTCTTTACTGCCAACGCTATTATTTCAGAGATACCTAGCGTGTGATTTCCAGTCTCCTCAGTGCTAATGTCTTCTGCATTTGTACTGGGTGGACTCGGGGCCTGAGACTGCATTTTGTTCCTTCTCTTTGTCATTTTGTATACCACTGTCTTCTGACCTTTGGTGTAGAGCGTAGAGTTATTACCTTAGCATCAGGTCCGATCTACGAAGTTCAGATTCCTCCAGGTGGGTGTTGTTTGGTTCTGGCTGTGTGCTCCACTTCTTTCTGCTGCAGGCGTTAGAGTTGAACCCTTTGTGTCTGTCTGGCAAGATGTTCTGCTCCTGAATCAGCTGGGTGGGTCTTGCCTCTAGCCCCTTTGCAGGGAGTTCTGCTGAAGGGTTCCTCTCTGGGCCTGCACTCTGGGTCAAATGAAGATCCGCGGGCCCTGGGTGGTCTCACTCACTCACCAGGCCTGGGCTCTGGGTCTATATTCAGGATCCGGAGGGCCCTGGGTGGTCTCACTCACTCGTAGGGCCTGGGCTCTGGGTCTATTCAGGATCCGGCAGGCCCCGGGTCGTCTCACCCACTCGCCAGGCCTGCACTCTGGGTCTGTTTGGAACTCATTTCTTTTATGTTGTCACATAATTAGCATATATCACAGTTAATTTCCCCTTACATTTTCAAGGAAATATTGCTTGCTAACCTATGTTAGATTTATCACTGTAAATGCCACTTGTATTTCGTAATTTCATTAAAAATCAAGTCAGTAGAATGCTACAGTCTTCATTAATTTTCAGATTCATATGAATGATAAGCTTCGTGTATCATATTGAAGTGTTGTCTACAACTGATTTAGTACTCTATTTTCCAGAATTGCTTATTCTTTTTTTTTTTT